CGATAAGTCCAAGGAACAAACGTTACACGTAAAAGTTATCCAAAGGTCAGTTCGCAACTTTTAACTTGACCTGGTGAATTCAAGTATACATACCCCCGTGCAAATACCCTTATATACAACATTTACATAGCTAGGATGAAAGTCACGGGTTTGAATACACGACGCCTTCTAACCTCCTTACAACCCACTCGTTTCCTCAAGCACTAGTAGTACTATAGTCAGAACTAGACATAGCAACAACGCTATACCAATACCAGTTTTTACCACTCGAGACAGTATTATAACTAACTGGGACGCAACTTCGTGTCTACGAGTTCATTATCTATGTAACATACGAATGGTTTTTTTTTCTTTCTTTTCTTAGCTCCCATTTCCGTGATACGTTACAAAATTTTCACATAACAAATACGAAAACCGATTCACGATATTATCAACTATCACATCGATGGACCTGTGCAGTACGTAATTATCCAGAGCAACAGATATGTGCTCAACTCCAGAATCGATTGTCGATAGGTAATTCAAAATGGTATTAATCACTGTACACGTATTCATAGGCTATGCTATACCTCACGTTATATCTTTTCATTGAAAGTACATTGACACAAGAATGCATTTCAACATTTCAAGAGGAAACAGGAGTAATTTATCATGAATTACTCGTCCCTAGAATTGACAGCATCCGTTGCTTTGTAAACATTTATCATATAACATATACGTATATTGATATAATGTTCATAAATCATTAACGTCCATTTTCAAGTGAGTTGTACGTGACGTATTGAACTCGTATTTAAAATTTTTCAGTTATTTAACGATCTCACATGCCTGTCAGCATTTTTTGTCGATTTTTATATTTGTTTACACGTCATTCCTCGTAGATGAATTTTTACGTATTTTACAGTGTATTCCAAGTATCACAGATAATCATAATTTGAGTCTTTCAATTCTTTACCTTATTACGCACAGATGATACATACATGCTTTGAGCAGCTTTTGCCAGTTTTTTTTTTACATATTTAATTTGGCAGCCAATTATCGCTTATCAGATTGTCCCCGTTAATTTCTGAATTATATGTAACTTTTAGCACGACTCTGAAAATGACTAATATATTTCAGAGCGAAGCTAATGAAAGAATTGAAATCGTTCAGGTGAATTATTACTTGAGAATTAGGTGAGGGTTGATTTATTGACGGACATCCAATAGGTGGCACGAACGACCTTACGAATTTTTGTCGATCTAATTCATTTCTCATGTGTCCGCTGGACAGTCAGATTGGATAGGGGTCGTAAAGTGAACATAGGCTTAATTGGAGAATCGAGCGGGGGATGTTTTCTTCTTGTTCGATATGAATAACCTGGGTAATCACTCTTTAGAGTACGGTTTGATTTATCAATGCAAATTAAAAAGGTTTATACCTTTTTCTTTTTCTTTTCTTTTTCGTTTTTCATACTCTGTCCACTTATGGAAATGCCAGGTCTTTGAGAGAGCACACTTAATGGATGGTACACGGCAAACTCGTGTTTTTACATGCTATTGAAATTGACGGATTAGCCAGTAGGTTTAGGATCGTGAGTAGTCTGTTTTATTTTTTAGTTGTTTTTAATTTTAAAAAGTAGGTGAAGATGGGGAATCAATGAAATGCCTTATGCATACGTGAGTGGATTCTCGATAATTATTCTTTTTTTATTTATTCAGTAGGGTTCTGATAATACGAGATTTTTGGGACGCCCTTCCTGACGCCGTTATGTAATACGGTATTCCAAAGAGGTCGAGTGCGTACATTTGTCGTGCAGGATAACGCGATACGATAATTGGAATAGGAATTTGTGTGGCAATCGAATAAAATGAGTGATTAAAAAAAAAAAGAGAGAAAATGAGAGGAAAACAGGGCAATAATGCATATCGGATGAGAGAAAACCGTTAAGTGCAGCATTGAACTACAGTCAAATCTTGATATACAGGCGCTCCGTATGGTCGCTTTTCCTCTCAGCTCTCTTTCTAAGCTATCACGCCCAGAGGGGGAAGGCTTCTCTCCACTTTTTTCTGTCACTCAGCGCGCGTCTTACTCGCGGTTTGTCGAACGTTCGGGCTATCACAGTCGAATGGGAACTTCTCTCCGTAATATTGCTTTCTGGCTAGTTATCGCGTCTCAGATCCCAGGGTGCACGATTGTACAGATAGTCAATTATAGTCCAACTGATATTGCTATATAATTTGTAAATAAACGCATTCGACAATTTTGCGAAATAAACGGATTGAACTGTTTTGCAAGCCTGCAGTATAATTCGCGTTCAATTATTTTTCAACCACCCTCTATACAATATTTGCACAATAGCTGCAGACATAACAAATTCCCATGTTGTATTGTTTACAAAACATTCACCGAGTTCATGAAGTATATATATTGATAATATATTCCAGTAACAATAATAATATCTATTTTGCGTTGTGTATACATAACGTATATCCCATTGCCATAAGTGAAACTCCATCTGATTTGTTGCCACTAAAAATAAGAAGGATAAGGCTGGAGAAATTGTGCGGCGTGGATAATATTTTTGGAAAAATATGAAGCAACCCTTAATCCGCCAAGATATTTCATTCTTTAGAGTCAGATATGTATTTTTACACAATTCTATTGCTTATCTCGAAGAAACACGAAAACGGGTACCAGACTGTAAATAATATCGAATAAAAAAGATCTATAATCAGAGCGAGCTCCATTTGCAAAACGTAATGAGGATCCGCGCTTTTGTAAATTTCGAAATAAAACAATTCAGAAGCTTTTTAGTCGAATGAGCACAGAATGACGTTCATTACCATTCGCTTTAGGAAGGATCGAATCCACTCAGCATGATTGCTGCGGTTGAGATAGTTCGTTAAAAACATCACAGGTATCAACTGTATATCAGCAGCTCTTTAAAGTTAATTTCCAATTGGAAATAACGCGATTGGTTGACAGTTATATTTCCTACGTGATATGGTTCAACGGTACACCTATGGAATGTGACAATTGAGGCAATGGCTCTGAATTAGATGCATATATCCCTTTTCATTTTAATTGTAACGATAGCAGAAAACAAAAATACATTTCAAACGCGATGAGCCTTTATGGTTATTTCGACGTATGCGCTTATCATTGCTCTCCATTTAATACAAACGTTGTCGTAATCCACATATTTATAGTACAATGCGCTGAATGCACGCTGTTCCTGTAATTATACGTACAACGAGCAGTTACCCATTATGTTTATTTAATTATACACTCGAAATCATTGAGCGAGGAAATACCATCGAGTAAGTTCTACTTAATCACACGATAGCGAGTAAACGACAGACCAAGTATTAATATAATTTTTTGTTACCTGGTATTACGCAATTGGTTGACGCCCTCGCGTTAATTACGAGTTTGCAAAAGGATAACCGTAAGTCACTTATGGGGGTAACTTTTTCATTTGCCTATCTGAAGTTACAGATAATTTGAATTCGACTAATCATACTTTTTTTTTCATCCTACAAATTATACCTTAATATTACATATGCATATATATTTACGTACTTCATCGCTATTCTATCATGAGGGAAAAAGTATGTTTGACTCAAATTCTTCGATATTTCACCTGACACACCCTATGAGCATTCTCAAGGTCTACCATCGATCCCTCCATTCCTATGAGTTCGCCCGCTTCACACGGTGTACCTTATCGCGATAGTGTCAATGGGATGGATTTCTTATCAGCAATGTGACTTTCTATTTCCATCGAAAGTAAAAGTCAGAAATATACTAAAAAAGAAAAATCTTATTTCGCACGATAGAACGTCTACGTTAATTTCAGTAGAAAAATAAGACAGCATTTTTCGAATGTCTTGAGGATGCGTTTGTCGTTGTGCAGCGACACGTTAAAAAAAAAAGTGGGTGAAAAAACATCAGAATTAAGAGAATAAAGCGAAACCACTCGTCAGCGTCAGATCGCAGTCAGGTCGTTATGTACAAATCATTTAGCTTTCCCGCAGGGTATCTCCCACAACGGACCACACATTTTTTTCCTTCAGCCCTCCTTTCTCCCAATTTCCATCCATTTTTATCTTCCTGTCTTGACGCTGCCTACCGGTGCCCCATCTTTTCAACAATGCGATTGAGAGGGTGCTGGAGATTAATACAAATTGTACCCACTCGACCGATACGCATTCAGCCATTATTTTCTCAAATTGGCTTTTATATTCCTTGGAGCACCGTACCATTCTCTATTTTTATTTTCTGCTTTCAAATCTTTTCTTGTTTCACAACGAATGGTCGTCTCGACGCTATAGAATGAAAAAAAGAACGAAACTCATCCTTGGGAAATGGCAGGAGGATTAATTCTTAAATTAACCGAGAGATGGACAACTGCTCTTCTCATCGCAAAACTTGGACTTTACGACGGGCTATACAAAAATAATTGATTAATAGCGAATCTTGCGTAACCCGCCTGGCTTTCGGAAAGAGACGTCCATCCACTTTGACACTCTGACGTTTTTCAACGTTAGCCGTCGTCGTTTCAATTAAAATTATGGATCCTACGCTTTACGAGTTTACCCAATTACTCGTTCTTTTTTTATAAAAAGGGTCCTTAAATGGACGGAAAGTCATGTAAAAGTTACCTCGAATAAACTGCAGCTGTGTCTGCTCTAACTTTTCTTTCCATTTCCTCTACTCTCTAACGAAACGTAGATCTTTAATCGAATTGGCTGTTACAATCTTCTAATAAAATTTTTCATTGTGACTGCACTGAAAGTAATTTCATAGTCAACTATTTACTCCTCCTTTTAATTTCTTCTAATGGAACCTTGTTACTAGGAGAACAATAGGTATAAGCTTAGTCGGAATTTCGATTTACGTTGATTGTGACAAGGTTAATACAAAAAATAAAACTACGTTTCAACGTCGATTCTTGTATCACAACAAAAGAAACATTTCGATTATTGTAAAATACTATGTATGATTTATACAACTACGTATCTCTATTATATGTATTCAGTTCTAAGCTGCTCGTCAATACTTTAGGAATGACGCTTAACGTAAAAATTGAATACTTGTACTGCAGCCGAGTCAATTAAGAGAACATTTGGAACTACTCGCGAGGGCTACTGATAACTTGAAACACGGGCTAGGAGTATCTACATTTAAAATTTCCCTGTTGGTTGCTTGACAACTTTTCAAAAGTTTTACCTCCCTTTACGAATCATGACGGAGAGTGAGGTTTTCGAAGACTGAATGGAATTTGAAACAAATATATTAGCTAGATTGTTATTATTATTTGTCATTAAAAAAAAATACATAGATACCAACTAATTAAATATTTCGTACATTTCACTACCTACAGCGCATTTCGTCTCAAATTCACCAATGAAAGTTACGCTAGTAACTAGTCAGCATATTTATATTATATTCAATTGCATAACATAATTTACACAGTATGCGTGGAATTTAAATAATTGTATTTACTCGATTCATTCGCTTAATTAATGATTGATATACAAAGTGGAATCACGAGCAAGTTTCTCCTGGAAATTCTAGAGATGGTGTCGAGAATAATTAATATAGAAGCTGTCACGAAGTGAAATCTTTATATTTGAAATCCCAAGAGGATTTTACCGTGAAACTTTGCAGATTATGTAAAATACGGAGTACTTTAATACGAAGTGTTTTTAATGAACGTTGAATTCTTTTTTAATGATAACTAATCGTCTGATATAATAATTCACCTGAGATAACTGTAACACACAATTATTCAATATGAAATTATATCTTGAAATGTCTTTAAACAATGTATCTAACAAATTCTCGATTATTTTCAAACATTCAAATTTTAGCTCCACCGTGCATATGGTATTTTTTAATAATGAAGGGCTTTCTGAATACAAATTTTTTCCAAAAGAATTCACACAATTGTTTCTCCTGCGGCTCATTGCTTTCCAGAGTCCATTGTGCCATTTCGTGAGATGGATCATGAGGGTGGCTACGACGTGGGTACTTTTCATTAAAGTTTGCCAATCCATTAAGCCCACGTTATTCCGTCATAAAGTGTCGAAAAATCCGAGACGTTTTTGCACGAGTGATTTTTATTAAACGGTCCTTCGATTTTATGACGGGAATCAAGTGTCTTCGAAATTTCCGCAGATTTATACTGCGTATAAGGATATTCGATGTATCAGCACAATTCCTATCGGACTGCCTGATCGTTTTGCTTATATCGTAAATCAAAAGAACTTTTTGCGAATCAATTCGCACGTACCACACATATACTTGATTCCCGAACCCTTCATTAATTCAGAAACTATTGGATATCCATTAGAACGGTCATTTAAAACTCTGCCTTTATTTTTTGCAGAGGTGAAAAGATGCCGTAATGCTTCATCGTAGTACGTCGTCGCGACGCAGAAGGGCGTCGCGAAATGTCGTCAATTCGGCGCAAGGATCGTCGTCGGTGTCAGGGCCAAGAGGGCGCAGAGCATCAGTGGCTGCTGACAAAACCGCCCCCTTGGCCCTAACTACCCCTAACGCCAGTATGGAGAGGCACAGATCACCTCGTGGTAGTATGGTGCCAAATATCGAACTTGATGTGGAAAATGATTCGCCGGAAGAGGTAATTGGAAATACATGATTGTTTAGAAATTTTCTTTGTTATTTCCATTACGGAAATAGATAGTAGTCACTTATCAAGTCTCTCCGTCAAACGTTGTAGACTCTTATCGTGCAGTTTTCTTCGTATTTTCAACGTAGTCCATTCAGCTTTTCTCTGCCGTTGAAATTAGTTTAATCTGTATCGGAGAGATAGAATCAATTACTTTCTTACCATCTTTCATAGTGAATAGTTCTTATTTGTTCTATGAGTAGTGTTTTTAAAGAGTAACGTTAACAGAAAATACAAAATAAAATAATCTTACAGCCTGCTGGTCAGAGAATGCTCCCGGATCCTGAGTTGAGCATATCTTCCCAAAGGAATCTGGTCCCAGATCTAAACCGTAGTCCACGAAACTCTCTGATCCCAGATGACTATTGTAGAGACCCACGAGGATCCTTAGTCCCAGATCCCGGACGTAGCCCGAGGAATAGCTTGGTCCCGGATATAGGACGTTCTCCACGGAATAGTCTAGTTCCTGAGGTATCTCGAAGTCCGCGGCACTCTCTCATACCGGATGTACCACTAAGTCCAAGGAACTCTCTCGTGCCCGATGTCAGCTACAACAGAAGTCCAAGGAACAGTTTAGTGCCAACAGGAAGCTCCAGGAGTTCGCTGATGCCGGAAAATAACGGTGGTAGTAGAAGTCCCAGACACTCCCTGGTACCGGATCCATCGAGGAGCCCAAGGGGAAGCGTGGCAAACATTGAATTCGACAGGAGCCCAAGAGGATCCATGTGTCCTGAAGTGTTAAAAACTCCTAGAGGTAGCATAACGCCATTGGAATTCAACAGAAGCCCACGAGGATCCATAGCATCCGATTGTTTCAATCCCAGTTCAAGAGGATCGATCGCACCGGATCCAAGTAGATCCCCACGTGGATCGATTGCCCCGGACCCAAACCGTTCGCCAAGAGGATCCATTGGACCAGATCCAAATAGATCACCTCGAGGTTCAATCTGTCCAGAGATTAATCGTAGTCCAAGAGGATCCATAGGACCACACGATCCCAACAGATCGCCCAGAGGAAGTATAGGCATACTGGAAATCGAGAGAGGTCGTAGAGAATCAGCTGGTGGATTGAGTGAGGATGAGACTAGGAGCCCTAGAGGTAGCATTGGTCCTGAACTAGACAGAAGTCCTAGAGGAAGTATTGGCGGTAGTCAGGATAGACGGAGTCCCAGAGGAAGTCTCGCGTTTCAAGATCCTAGAAGAGCCTCAGCCGATCAAGGTATCGTAACGCTGTTATTAATTATATAAATATTACCACTACAAAGCTTTCAGTTTATTAAACAAAAAACATCTATATAAACCACGTACTATAACAATATCATTGGCAAATACCATTTGAAAATCTTCGTTCCTCAACAAAAACTTTATAATTACTGAGATCATAATTTAAAACGATTAAATCATGTCCGTCTTATCGTATAGATTTTCACGAGATAATAGTTAAAGGCGTACACTGGGTACGTTTAAGGCCTATCCATTTTCCTGCTGATATAATACATACTGACGTCAACTCCGTTTACGCTTTATTATTTACCGTTACGAGGTGATGGCTGCGCGATAACCTTCGAAGGAAAATAATTTCCTCGAGGTGACGAGCTCACCGTGGAATCTGGAGGGTGCAGTTTGCAAATCCATTAAAATTGCCGATATTACGTGCTTCGCGGAATATCTTAATGCTCCAAGTGATTCGCCACGGGTAATATTCTGGACCGGGTGACTTCATAAAAAAAATGTAACATCGTTATATCACCAATGACGTAACTTAGGTTGTTACACTCTGTTCCATGTGGCGGCAAAGTCTGGGAAATCTTGTAGGAGATATACATATGTACATATATGGTATCCAGTACGTAGTTCGCCAAACCCTCCTCGGTAAAGGAGATTTATTTCTACCGACACTCATGGGGCAGCAGGGCTTTGCGTTTTATGCGTAAAAGGCTCGTAACGATAACCCGATGCTCGTTAGACTGCATTTTTTATAGGTTAAGCAAATGTCTCCTGGGAGTTAACTCCCGGTTATAATGAAAACCATATGATATCAAGATATTTAATACTGCGGATAGGTAACGTTACTTGGATTTTACTGGGTAGGTATAAGAAGGGGATGAACATATCATCCTGTAGAGGTCGGATCAATTTTATGCTTCTTTATGACCCTATCTGTACGATATATTATGTGACGAATGAATATCTAGGTACCTCGTAAATAAATGCGTTCGCACAGATTTGTGGAAGACAAATCGAAGACATTTACCGGAGAACGATTAAAGAAACACTAAAGTCCTGATTAAGAAGATTTATAAGAGAATAATCTGCAAATATTTTTTTTTGGCCTGTGTGTACAGAGTATATCAGTGACGATGCACGTTTGCCGTTTGCGGGGAAACTGTGAACGATTTCGAAAATCTGATGTGACAACCATTAAATACTTGTTGATTGCACATCGCTGTGCATATTATTTTTGACAGATTTCCGATACTGGCGGTTCCGCCTTAACTCCATGCAGCAGTATTCATGCCCAATGTGCTTTTCGCAATTGCTTTAAGGTACGCATTCAGCCAGACGCAAACTCGTACACGGTGGCTGAAACTTCCTCCAATACTTTTTTTTAATTTTATTACAAGTTGGAAGTCTATATATTCCATTTTGGATTCTACATATTCCTCGCTGTAGATTTTGGAGTCTGCGCGAGTCTTTGGGATTTAGAGTGATCCTGGTCGTTACCTTCGCACACATAGCCCTTAGAATCCTCAGTAGCTTTAGCAGCCTTAAGTTTTTAGTCCCTTGCGAAATTACCTGAAACTATTGCCAGAGCTTTGCATGAACGTCTGGTGGAATTTATCCGGAACCAACTAAAATACTTCCAAAAAAAATGCAACTTTAGGAGATGATTTATCGAGTATAATAGTTCTGGAAAATTTCATCAGCTGGCGCTGTTAGGACCATGTGATTGTTCCGAAAAATTCCGCTAGAGGGCGTGAAACGAGAAGTCGATAAATTATCACTTAAAATTGCATTTTCGCGAGAAGCATTTTTGATAGTTTTCGAAAATTCCGCAAAGGCCAGAAAGCGTAAGGGTCACGGTCGTACATACAGGTCTGGCAACTCTGGTGATGAGGAAAGGGTTCACTAGCGTAACCAGGTTCTGTAACCACGTTCATGTAATTTAAAAAAAAAAAATAGCATTGCAATACCCTTTCGCCTTCTTTTGCGTCTACCTTAACACGTTTCAAACGCAAATTTCTCGTTTTTCTAGAAGAACTCGTTTTTCATCTTTATTCTTATTTCTTATCCTATGACTTCCCCATTTAACCTTTTTTGCTATCATTTGAAATGGCAAAGATAATTTTTTTTATTTACAAATGAAAATTAAAAGAACAACAATAATTTGCGCAATCACAAAATATTTAATGGTTGTCACATCAGATTTTCGAAATCGTGCACTGTTTCACCGCAAATTTATGTCTTAGCTAATACGCACTGTATACTAACGGGTACGAGATTGAGAAATGGAATTTCTTAATACCATTGTCATTTCATGACACGTGAACTCTTTTATGGCTCATATGTCTCCAGTATGTTTTACGATCCTCTATACTGTAATCAGTGTAACGCGCTTAGGTGCACTAGCTACCTATCCTACTTTATGGAGCAATCAGTCAATGAAGTAATATTGAAATCTAATTGAAAAGCAAATAGCTGTCTATAAAGAATAGTAACAGCGCTTAGAAGGAATATGAGTAACGTTAAATATTTTTATTTTTCTATTATTTAACTCACCAGCGGTTTCGCCTTCTTTCTTTTGCCATAAAAAACGTACAACCATTGGGTCTGTCAGACCACGTGCCAGCACTGAAAAATTAAGTGACATACGATATTAGGTATACGATTTTTGGAAAATTTTTTTAAGGAATCGCGCTAATTTATTTTCATGGTTAAAAGGGTATTCTTGGACATAAAAACTTGCTCAATAAATTAACCATAGCGTAACTACCTTCAGGCCAATAGCACTATCGATTCTTCACCGACCAAGTGGAACACCCTTTGGTAAATTAACAGTGTAAATCTATCGGGTGTCCAGTAACAATACATTAGCATATACTGGACATAGTATAAGTCCGCGTAGATTTTCCATGGTACTGCTGTATCGATTGTGGGATGCCACTCAACTAACAAGGTTTTTTTTTTTTTTTTTTTTTTTTGAATTGCAGGAGAACGAGGGTAAAGAAACCCTTAACGCTCCCTTAAAGAACCCAAGTTAAATCCCTTCGTCAAGAACTCCCAGTGATAATGGTATAACAATTTTTTTTGTCCCTCATATTTTATGCTGATCAAACATTAACACCCTGTAACATCGTGGAGAATAATCTGGCTGAAGAAAAAAGACTCGTGCATTGTAGTGCCTGTGTTTCCTGTGTTACAGGTTCCATGAAAAATCGTAGCAGTTCACCATACCGACAGCGAGATATAAACTCCGGTAGTATCAGATCCGGCGGAAGTTGTGGCGCACAGGTGAATCTAGGCTACGGGACAAATGCGTGGGCAGATTCAAGAAGAGCCAGCAGCTCTGTGTCTCAGGTTAATAATAAACATATTTAATGTACGTTCTGTACGAGTAACGCAGTAATTAACCGTAACGTTAAATATTGTGTTACTTAGAAAAGTTAGTCAAATAATAATGCCACGTGACATTTAACATTAAAAATATGTATTAAATTAATGTACCGTGCGTGAGAAGTGTATAGATGTAATTCTACTCAGTTAACGGTACACTAAATAATATTTTCTCTTACGTCGGTTATTTAGCTGTATAAGCCGAGACCGTAAATTCCTTGGCTGTCAAACTGCGCAGAGCTTACCAAGCAAAATATTAACCCAGAACATAAGCGCAAGATACATCGCGTTTATGTTTATACTCTGGTGGGTCTCTGGACAATGTTTCATAATATTCTGAACCAGTTGGAAACTACTAAGGCGGGATATTCTTTTGTATTAAACAATCGTCAGGTTCGATTCGTTTCATGTTTTATTCAAATCGTATATTTATGAGCGAGGGAAATATCATTGTTACGATTTTTTTATATATAAAAAATATCGGCTTCTTATTGAAGATTTTCTTATTGTTATGTAACAATGACATGTTTTTTGCTTTTCAATTTTATGTACGCAAGTGTTTACCAACTTATTTAGTGTGGTCTTCCTTTTCTGTGTATAAAATTCAAGAGACAAATTTTCTACGCAATGGAGAAAGGAAAGCTTATCTGGCAACTGTAAAGGAAACATATGCACATATCATTTTGTATAATCATGATTAATCTCTATTATTTAGGCATTTATTAAATTGTCCCTATTCTTCTGATTTTCTAATGTTTCGTCTCATTATTTATCATTCTTTTACTTACACAGTTACCTCCGGCATGGTTTAGCATTTTTTATATTATATTTAGCCCTGTGACTCGTTCACATTTTTCTAGCATCTTAAAGTCATCGAAACGTATCTTTCTGGTGGGTTGACAAGTTTTTTCAAAGTATGCGGTCCTTGCCAACTTCCATTGAAGATGACATTAAGTAAAACCGAAGTAACGACGAGAAGAAGAGTTCCGGGAAATAATTGTACAAGGAGGAGAGTCAAGAGTCTCATTAAGGGATTATTTCCAAGAACATTGACTGTCGCTCTTGCTACCCTCAGGAAAATTCAAATCTTTGACGCGTACTGAAGGAACCCTTGCGTCAAAATTATCCGAACGAAGAAGAAGATGTTCCGCGAAGAAAGTTCTTAATTATTGAGGAATCTTAAATTATATTTTCGCACAGAATTGCGACGAACACTTCAAATATTTGAATTCTTTTTAACCACGAAAATTCGCTCTAGCTAAGTTTCTAATGAAAATTCCATTTTCGCTTTATAGCCAACCGCTAGTGACTTTTTTTTTGCGATTGACACTCCACGTGTAGACGGACATTCTTTTTTTTTTTTTTTGAAACTGTGAATCGGCAAGCATCAAAGAGATTTTCTTCGCTGCAGTCTCTTCTCGTATACCGCAAGTAGCATATGCAAGTATCGATACTAGAAATTCAAATGAAATCCATATATTTAAAAATCGCTAGAAAATACAAGAATCTACGACTCCGATCGAGTACGCATCTAGAATAAAGTTGTGTGCAATAGCTTGAAAAAAAAAATGTCCATCACCTCGAGGTAGTTACGAGTACGCTTTGAAAACTCTTTAAATTTATCGAGGTGATGCACAGAGACTCGTTATGTACACTTACGAATGATATGGTACGTATACAAAAAGTTTGAATTCTTCGAACATTTATTTCAGTTCTCAGGCGATGAATCTCGCCGACTCTGTGGCGGCAGTGTCAGTTTGACGGAAAAGGGTACTTCGGGGGTCGGTCCTCTTGGGGTTGCAACGTATGGCTCTCTGGCCTTTCAGCTGAAAGATGCTCATCTCGAGGCCAGCGGCACTTGTGACTTTGTGTTCAGGGCTTTAGGTGTCGTTAGCAAAACTCTAGTCGTCACTATTTGCCTGGGCTGCCTCTCGACAATGCCACTTCTTATGCTTATCATGGGTGAGTGGAAATTGATTAATTTAAATCAGACAAGATAAACGTAACGCCATTCTAAGCACATTCATCTTGGTCACCGTACCTTCTTCCCAACCCTTTCGCGGGCGTTTTCTCTTTTTTAAAATATTTTCACGTTTCTTCCCAATAGCTGAGAGGAATACGAGACGTCTGACAAATTGCACGGATTCCACCTTGGCTCATGATTCAATGCTGAGGAGACGCAGCAATTCGCAAGTGTCAGTACGTCTTATCGCGTTCGGTGCATCCTGACTTTTTGTACTTTGGACATATTGCACAAAAATTGCGGATTTACTATGACGAATTGAAACGCGAAATTACAGTTCTATGTTACATGAGAATTTACGTAATTACGCACTGACAGACGATTAATTAATAAAGAAAAATAAAATATACCAAAGACGATGCAAAAATTAGCACAAAGCTAAAAGATAAAATTTTCATATCTCGTGCAATTTTTCTTTGCCGTTAATTCTCGAGAAAGGGCGTGGCGAAATCTCAAGATGCAGTTTTGCAAGTATGCAGCTGGGCATGCACGAGCTGTACAGTAACTGCATTGCAGATTTGCATTACCTTCTGCGTGTATTACTAAAAAGTTTATGGTCGGCCGTTCGAATTGCAGCTGTAATAGTTATGATAATTTAATACAACAAACTCTAGTCGCGTGTAGCAGACTTATAGAAATGGAAATAACAATTAATTTTTTTTCTCTCATAATTACGTATGCCAAGTTGCAATTACCTTCGAGATTGTTTAGTACATCCCAAGGATTAAACAATTTATCTATATATACTATGTACGATAACAGTCACAACTTTGCGCCTGCCTTTGATTTTACATCTTAGAAAATCAGAGTGGCGACACGCAACTGCGCATTTTTTCTCAGCTGCATGCAAACTTACGTAATTTCTACATGGTACCTGAGAATTTTACTAAAAAGAGGTAAAACCTAGTCAAAGGGCTCTCAATATCATCCAGGGCCTATCCATACTGTCATACTGGAATTTTGATACCCTTCTTGCCAGTTACTTTCGGTCGATCCTTAGAGTGCTTTTCTTTGCCAGACTGTCATTCGCTGCAAAAACTTACTCTGATAAGAAAGAAGGGTCGATCGATCCTAGTGCACATATTTTCTTCTCTCGCATAACTAGGCCACCATAAGTTAGAAACAATGGCTACGAAAATACAGTACCACCGAAAGATCCATGATCAATCATCATCCAAGTCCTTGCAAGATCCTCTCAGCTGAACGAGTCTATAAAAAATAAATTATGAATCACTTTCTGTCTCTAAATATGAAAAACTTTGAGAACACCTGTACACGTCAAGGTTTGCATGTTGAATTAAGCTGACGTGGGCATCGAACCTGGACATGGCAGAAATGAAAAGTCAGGTCGGACGATTAACGATAAATTCATTCCCTATAATGAACATATGAGAGTGTCACGCCATTGCTTATAGATTATAATAATTTAACCTGCATCGTATATTATTAATACGTCAAATACTAAAAAAAGATCATTATATAATACTAGCACTGCAAAACAATTAATCCGTTGGATAAAAATCATTTATCCACATAGAAAGCATATTACGTAGAGCCCTTAAGAATGGTAAAGTGATGGATGCGCCATTACTTACCTGCGAAGGGTAACTAATCCAGTCGTTCGCTTTCACGTTTTTGGAGCCGACTTCTGATAAATGATCGTCATCCCTAGAATGCTCTCAGGAACAAATTCCAATACGTAATAAGGGTTTTGCGACCTAGTGGATTACATCAAATGGCCTATCAATCGAACCATTTATTCGTATAAGAATGATTTGGTACTATTTGTAGTCTGATATAGAAATTATTATATCTGCCAGCTATAAATTCATTTCCATTTCTGTTCAGGACTTCAGTTCATCAGAGATTGCCCCAAAGAGCCCCATATACCAGTGTACATGGTGGTAGGTGGTACTCTAGGAAGTGTCAGAATGCTGTGGGGACTATATTCACAGATACGTTCCAGAAGACCCGAAGGATTGAGCGTTCGTAGTGCTAGGTCACACATGTCACCTACCAGACTAGCCTCCATGGCTTTGACGTGCTTCCTGGCTGGTTGGTTCGTATTAGGTAAGAGCTTTTGGTAGATAGGGATATTCACTCCGATAAAGGTGTAATCTGCAAAATGATAATAGCCACTATTATTTATTATTGCATTTCGATGAAATAAACGACACATTATGATTGTCAATTACAAATTTAACAATTACTCAAATAAATTCAGTAATATTAGTAGCAACCTGGTATCTTCTGTTTATCATAAGCCATCCTGTACGGCGGCTGTACTGTGTACTCCGAAGTATAGAAGTTGCCTAAGTCAGGCGCTCTTGTTTCTGACCCAATCTGGATATTACTACTTCGAATGGAGTCACGCTACTGGATGATTTTAATATAGCCCTCAGCATCCTCGATATGCTTTGCAATAGTATAGGTAAACATTTTCTGATTTTGTTTACCAATAGGAAATTACTGGATATTAAGCATCAGGTGGCCCGATTATTCTCCTACGTTGTTCGAGCCTAATCGATGGTGTCACAAGACGCTCTACGTATTTTCATTGGTGCATCTGTGCGTGGTTTATGCAGCTCTGGCGGCCAGCGTACTGGCGGCTCTGTCTCTGGCTGTCTGCAGGATTCTCGCATGTCCCTGGCCAGAGAGGTGAGCGAATATTATATTTCCAGTAAAATGAATAACCCACACAAAAGACAGTATATACCATTAAATGCAACAATACTGGAATTAACGCGAGTTGAATCATTTTAATAATTATTCAGAAAATTTTACCTGCGAATACCTCAAATACGACGAAGCTAAAGTAATAATGTGAATAGTTGACGTGAATGTATTCGTTACCAGTAAAATAGCCCAGTGTGCTCTACAATGTGTATACATATAAGCTGGCGCCATGTGCAACGGACCAACTGCACGAAATCCGGCAACGAGGCCGATCACCCGTTAAAAGGAAATTGCGATAATTCAACCCGGATAGAATCGATCGATACTCACCGAGTTCCGCGAACCCTTAACCAGTTTATGATCCAGCGAACGGAATCATACTGAAGCGAAAACGGCATTATTGATATTCTGACATTTTCTTTTAACAGGCTTTCGTGCGATCGATAAAAAGATTTTTTTTTGTTCAAAGATACAAATAACCACGGCGATCCATGCGTTTGAGGGATGTTCGCGAGAAGACCGTGACTACTGGAAAAAGACATCCGCAAAATTCATTCGAGGGTAACGTCCTGGAGGAGGTCGAGGAGGAGGAAGAGGAGGAGGTCGTGGAGGGCAGCGAGGTCGTGCAGGAAGTGAAGTACTGCAGCAAAGTGCAATTCCGGGCACCGGATATCATCGAGTTGTGATAAACAAGATAAAGACAACCTAACCTGAATTGGCGTGGAATTTCAGCCGAGACAGGAAGTTTGGCACGAATCCTAAGAAGCAGATGATCAATTGAAGATCCGAGAACGTAGGAAGCTTCGTAGGAGAATTTTTAATTTTCTTGGCTCGTTGCAAAAGTGACAAAACTTTTGCAGCTACGTTTTTGCTTTTGGCCGCGACTGTACGTACCGAGTTCAAATCGTCAAAGTCTTGATACGAATGTCAGACTGCGTGGGGTGAATCGTTACTTTGGTATTGAAATTTTCAAAAAGAATGATACTGTATAAAGTTCAAATTTAGTATTTCAAGATTATTGCGAATCGAAGACATTGAAGTAACGTGTAGCGTCACCGTGAGAAATAGTGGACCTCCCGTTATCGAGCGATAAATCTCTGTGGACTTTATTAACCGGAAACCCAAATCCGCTTTGTGGTGAAAACTCAAATGGAATTGGTGAAACGTGCTCCAGGTCATGTTACACAGCAACGCTCTAATCGACCATATTTCCCTTTTCTGGTATGCGCATCGTTTTCTCGATCATCCGAAACACATTATTTCGTCAGGTTGACTGACGAAATAAATCGAAATGAGAGTCCTCGTGAAACAATAACGAGAGGTTAGCTAATGTTTGCATCGCTGGAAAATTTAACTCGAGCCCAACCGCTCGCCGCTTTGATGATCAACAATTCTTTACTAATGTGGAATCTCTTAGAAGGTAAGTACTATACCCATACCTGCATCGCTTTACTGTGTGCTACTCGACATTTTTTATTCTACTATTAGCTCGTTAGATTTCATTGATCCTTAGTATTAATAATAAATCAGAATTAAGGCATATTCATAAGTGAAGTTAGATCTTTAGAGAGCGACCATACTGTATGCATAAAAGCGATTGTTGAGTATCGCCCAAAGACTAGGTTTCAAACGGCAGCCATTGGGCTAAATTAAGTGTGATCGTTGAGAAAAAAAAATAGTTCGCGTTAAAATCTATAGAAACAGCGTTAGTAATAATTAAGAGGAAAAAAAAAAGGAATTAAAGACATCTCTTTTCATTTGAGCTTTTCACGTCAGGCGTCAAGGATGCTGTACCAACAGTTTTAAAGGTATTAAAAAATAGTAAAAAAGACAAAAAAAAATCCGTCGTAAATATTAGATTTTATAATCTTCAAAAATGAAGTCCTTTTATACTTATAGCAGACACCAACTTTTTCTCGTTCTAATTATCCTTCGCCTCATCCTCCGATACTGTGCTCCCCGATAGACACTTTTACCCAATACTAAAATTCTACGACACGCCATACAGAAAATATGATGCCGTTAAATATGTGATAAAGGAGAGTAAAAAGTATCATAACCATGTCTATCAGGATGAGGTAGAAAGATAGTGGGTCGATGAACCATATATCACTATCAACATTTATTCTACCTATATTTATACTTACAGAGTTAAATTTCCTTATTATTTTTTTCATACCCATTACCTAATAACCATCCGCTCCCCTCTCATCAATTCATGGATACCTACCTGCAATTCATTCACATGTAAAACATACCTTGAAGAAGCTTCGTGTAACATTGAACATCAAAGAATTACCCGTGCCTACACTTTATTCGCGGATCGACCATACTTATTCGACAAACAACAAAAACCCACCCAAAAGTATCGAAGTAAAAGAGTCAATTAAAGATATATACATCTTGATATTATTAATTCCAACAGCACTATAAAACGAGCTACGAGATCATACGCGAATGCTCGTATCCGTATATAAATATGCAAAAACTTGTATATGCATATACACGTGAATTAGTCATTAGATATAAATGCATATGGTAGGACTCAAAAAAAAATATATAAATTCTCGTAGGGACCTGACCAAGCCGTCTACATATAGCTACTAGACATAGCATCTATAGTATGTATATATATATATATACATACACATATATATACACACAATTAATTTGCTCTTGCATAACTCTTAGAGTGATATAGTTCACTTGTATGAAATTTTTTTTCGTTGCATCCGCGCCTGCGCAGTGGTTCGAAAACGGGTCCATATATATCGTATATACAGATACTATATCGTAAATAAAGTGTCGCATAGACATTGATGTATCTAACGTTTAATATGCCTGTATCGAGCGCGCGTCTCCGATATTTCAGACTTTCTAACTCGATTAGACTTTACGAATGAAATATATCGTTCGGGACTCGTAGAATGTATGTACATCGACGTCATCGCCCGTAATAACGTGTTAATTAAGGGACGCCTATTTACATGTACATACTATATTCGATTAGACACTAGCGCCATCGTCTTGCGATCTAATCTCGTGTACTAATTGGAGACGCGTTTTCATTGGTCACTATAAATGTACTATCGTGTTTCAAAGTTGCTTTCAGCGAAACGTCAGCGACGCGACTGCCTTCGGTTTTATGAGTCTGATCTTGGATAAAGTTTATATAGGATAATAATTTTGTTAGTAAAAAAAAAAAAAAAAATACTGAAATTTTTATACCATAATATTTTAACTATCTCTATACGAGTACATATGGTTTTTCTGTAAGGATCTTTTTTGCCTTTTTCATTCCTCCTTTTATCGTGTCTCTATGTTCGTTCAGAATCCGCCATTTTTATCTATCGATTATATCATGAATTTTTGTTTGCCACCTGACTCCGCGTCACGACGCACCGAAAGACGTCGCGACGCGTCGACGCTCCGCGAACCATTTACTTGCAAGGCACAACGAAAAATTGAATGACGTTTTACACGACGGAGGCAAATCATTATGACACCGTGTACACGTGGTATGCGTGGAATGCGAGAATGCTTCAAGGAATGAGTGATTAGTGATATCTATGAGTATTGTGCATTCGGTAATTATACTAGAGGAAAATCAAAATTGTATAGCAGAACGTACATGGAGAGAATTTTTCGTTATTTTTTTTTTTTCTATGAAATTCACGATCAAATTTAGCGTAGAAACGAGTAATCGTGGGACATCGTTGCCATTTTATTACGTATTGCTTATAACACACTTTGCTTATAATTTTACAATGCATACGGTAAATATTGCTTGCAAATTTTACTGCGTTCCAGGGTAAAACTAACCATGTAAAATTTTATGTTTTACAAAAAAAAATCTGATTGATATTTTCACACCATTGCAAAGCGTATATAGTGTTATTAGTAGCATTGCATCAGCTGAAGTTAGCTCGTCCATTCGATCTTTACGGTAGAACCATATTCAGACTGTTCAATAAACCTACATTAATTAACCTGAATTATACGGTTTGAATATTTATTTCTAATTCTCTGCACGTACGTGAGAGAATAGCTAAAATAAATAAATATAAATTAAACAACAATTGTGAAGCCAACTTCGAAAGAAAACAAAATTACAAAAAAAAAAAAAGGATTTGTTAAGAGATTTTAGGGTAAAAATTTTACAAGTCCTTCGGAGAAATATACAAAAATTTATATTTTTCGTGTTTGACTTCAAAGGTATGAAAAAGTAATGCACTATCCGTTAAAATTGAATGTAACGCACGAGATAATTCGGCTGTTTAAGATGACTTTTTAAATTGAACAATTTAAATGGTATAGTCCTACCCTATATATTTTCAAGTTTCAAAATTTTTACCGCACACATTGGTAAAAGCTATTTAATATATTTTCGTGAGTTGTTCTTAAATGTATAGGTAATATGTTATGAGATACCACGATGTCCCGTGATTACCGTGACTTTCAAGGTAATTTTCAATAATACAAAAATTCTCTCCGTGTACCTTAGCAACGAATTCACTTTAGGGAGAGTTTCTATTTACGATTACTAGCCGATATTGATTATCGTCGATAGGAGTCTACACGAACTGTATATTCAGCAGTTCATATAGGAGTGTTAACCGTGCGTGTCGGATTCATGACGTTGCATCAATCTCGTTATGAATTTGAATTACCCGCGCATGTACCTTTACTCTATAAATATATCATCCGGAATCGCGCAAAAGTTGGATTGTATATCATCCGGGCAATTCGTGACGTCCATATATAATTATGGGGAATCCACTAAAAATACAATATGGCAATATCAACTCGTACCGAAAGTTACGTAACGGGTACGAAAAGTTCTAACTTGCGAAACGTCATCGGAAGTTCGGGAAGACAGGATACGGAGAAACTTTTTTTTTTAACGTCAAACTAGCAAAACGTGAAGACAATTGCAATTAGCGTTGCAAAAAGTTTTGCGATCCTGTTATCGAACGTCACGCTACTGTGAAGTAGGTCGATGGACAATTGTACGATTGTCAAATACGCGGTGACATTAAAACTCGAATTAAATGGAACAGCCATATTTTTTATTCACGAATTGCGTGAATGACGTACATGAAAAAGAAAAGTTATTTTTGGCCGGATCGAAGAAAGAAATGGAATCGATTGTTCATGTGATTGCGTCACAGTTACCATATGCAAAAATTAGGTTCGTTATAGAAAAATAATAAAAATTCATGACTCGCTCCGCGAAACAAGAAGTTTTTCGTAAAATTGTAATAAATGACTTTAGATGAAAACATTGATAACGCTTTTTAAAAAAAAAAGGTAGAGATTTATCTATATAATTAAATAAAATAATTCTACTCCATTTCTCGTTTCGATCAGAAGATCGGGCTTAGATGTTAAAAATATATAATATATAAAATGTTAGTCGCGATGCGTTAATCAATTTATAGTATATTGTTATATTTCATAGAATAGAGAATTTATTTATTTTTATACGAATGATTTTTGGTAGCGTCACATAGATTTATGCATTTCCAAATCAGTACACATATTATATACGTACTATTTATTCAAGTGGACCGTTTAAGTTTTAATATAATAATTCACTTTCTCGTTAGTTCGCGCCGATAAGTCATAATAACTGTTACAAGCTAATCGATAAGTACGTGTCTAAGTGGACTTAACGTGAGCGTAAATGTCTATGGTAATATTGTGATAGCGTGTCGTGATTTAAGTGAAGACTTTTACTGTGTGTTAGGCTCTAAGGGTTTTTGCGCGCGCCAAGTCGCCAATTGTGGTCCAGGCTTTAATCTAGAATTCACAAGCAAGATAGCCGAACTTATGCCGTCGTGATATAATCGGATGCTATAGAGGAAAACGTCTTTTTCTACGTCATTTTCCAACGAGTCCCACCTTAAAACGATACTATACATATAATAATAAACCGAAATCATTAAAGTCGCTGACAGTGCGAGTCATTTAAGTTACATCGCCGTAGATTAGTTCCTTGATATGAAAATATTGCCATTAATATTCAATCCATAAAATTCGTTTACTTCAAAAAATTTTTTTTTAATTTTCCATTTATATCGAAGCACCGTGCGAACCGATTTTTATATTCGCAAAATACCTTTTACATTTTTTATCTCGATAGCGCACACGCTGCTTGAATTAAATATGAGGGACGTATTATTCATTTTTAAATAAAAGATTAAAAATACGGTACGCGTATTACGTTTAAACCTGTACTTTTTTTTTAATTATACACAGCCACTAGCATGAACGCGTCTCTTCATTGCCAGATTTTCAGTACAAAGGCACAACCTCCGTTTTGCTTTGAAAAACGTTTTGGTGCACGAGCTGGAATTTGTAAAATTTTGCCATCATTTCTTAAAAGTAATTTTTGACTAACAAATTTTTTACCACTTAAAGCAGCAAGTCCTCGACAAGTAATTAATTACACGTATGTATATACTCTATTGAAAAATCTTAAGGGTCCAATCATTATTTGACACTGCAATTAAGAATTCGCAGGCGCACTCATCTCTTGCGTGCTGAATATATCTGACACGGAAATTCTTTCAGATTGTATTTGGAGTTTGAATCAACTGAAGAAAAAAAATTTAAGAAAAAAAAAACGAAAAAAAAAATTGAAAAAATATATAAAACAAGAAACACCAAACCATAAGACGCGTACTCTTTACCCACTATTGTTAAAATTAATAATAATAATATTATTCCTCGAATACGCATGAGCACGTAATCTTTGACGCTTAAAAATTTGTACCTTATCAATTACAAAGTCACTTTAACATATCTCGTTCTACATGAATGCTGCATTATTATACGCATTAACATATCGTGACAGGAGATTTATTCAAAAAAAGATTTTTTTTTTTATATCGCATACTCAAAGATCACACCTGACGAATGTAAACTGTGTCACAGATTCGATACAGTGAATCTCTCGGTAATAGTAATCCATCGTAAATAACGCAGATGAGAAATACGTCACGTGCATAAGCGGGATATATTGCGCTATATACATAATATATACATATATGCCGCATATATATATACACATATGTGGCATGAGCGATTGAAGCTTAATAACAATCGAGGAGTACCAATATAGATGTATATTTATATGTTATGATTGCGTGTGTACGTAATTGATAAGAAGGGAAGAAGTAGAAGAAGAAAAATGGATAATTATTATTAATAAATAAAACCATAAACCGACAACCCATTATTACATATAATATATATATATATACTGTAGTTAATAATATAAGAGAATGACTGTAACGCGGCAAAGGTATGGCGGAGACGTATTCTGACCTATTTGTAATCTAGCCGAATACACGAAATACACCGTATATAAGAGTAAAAAATATCTGAAAATAATTAATTGACCCAATTTACGTTGAATCCACAAATTTCCGCAATCCTCACCTCGCAGATTTTAATTAACGGCCATTTCCACGTTTCAACTTGTTACGCGAGTAACGTTTAAAAAATTTTACTCCCAATCATTGCCTCTCACTAGCATGCCAGAAATTACCAGGAAGTTTTTCAACGTATAATATATACGACTTGAAGATCAACGTAATTTCACCGTGATTCTATATCAACGGCTGGATTAGCGAACGAACGGATGTTTCCGTGTAATTAGCCCCAATGAAGCTGGGCTCACGTGAATTTCGCAAATAACTGTTATCCGACACACGATAACAATCAGATACACGTAAATCCTACATATGAGAATTTAATGATGAAATATTGAAATAAATGATAATTTGCTGGAAAGAGCAAAGTCTTTAATATGCGACAATAGCGCAGACTTATTAAATCCATGTAAATGAGAAAAAAAAATATATACTATACGCCCAATGATACCAGGGAAAAAATTATTCCAGTTAAGAACTTGACTGTCCTACTATTCCATCCCATCCTTATCCCTTCCCCCTGTATAAGAGAAAATTACGAAACGCGAAAAGACCAAGGTAAGCCGGTTAAAGGTGTCGTTTAAAAATTCATGACAGAAGAAAGCAGTGCTGATGCAATTTCCATATATTTTTTTTTAACTTTCTATTTTCATTATCGATAAACGAAAAGATTGTATCCAGCATCCCGTGGAGATCGATTTCAAAAATATGTATTTCAATCTAAATGTAAATATAGTCTGTTATACGCGTACTGCGGCAGGAAGAAAAGTTTACGTGAAACTTTTTTCACTTTGGGTATTGAGAAATTGTTTAAAAAAAAATTTCTTTTGCCCTCTCGCCATCTCTCTCACTCTCACTCTTTACCCATATCTAAATATCTCTCTCTCTCTCTCTGCAGCCACCTATAGGTGGTAGTACCATCACGGTAGACGACAAGTAACCGTGGCACTTGGACGATGCTAAAGCGACTATTTTTAAAAGCACTTCCAGCCTTCCCTCGCAATAAAGACTAAATGCACTGCGTCTCTGTCTCTCTGTCTCTCTGTCTCTCTCTCTCTCTCTCTCTCTCTCTCTCTCTCTCTCTCTCTCTCTCTCTCTCTCTCTCTGCAGCCACCTATAGGTGGTAGTACCATCACGGTAGACGACAAGTAACCGTGGCACTTGGACGATGCTAAAGCGACTATTTTTAAAAGCACTTCCAGCCTTCCCTCGCAATAAAGACTAAATGCACTGCGCTGCACTAAAGTGTGCCAACTCCTTAAGGAAGTGCCATTTGACGGAAGTATAGCAAGGAGCTTCTTACAAGCGAGTACCGAGAACCCAGAAAGTTGGTCCAATATAATTCACAAGGTAGAAGACTAACGATGTATACACATATATTACATACGTATATAATATACATATACACCGAAAACTACGTCTAGGCGCATAGGAGTCTAACTTCGAAATAATTCGCTCCAATAAAATCTCTCGAGGCGAAGTGGATGTAATATGGCTAAGGTAAGTCAGCGATGCGAATCCAATTTCAATGTCAAATTGAACAGGCTGCTACACTTCGTGAAATTATTAAACCTTTGATTTCTTCCTTCCTTCCTTCCTTCCTTCCTTCCGTCCTTGCCTCCTTGTTTGCTCTTCCTACCCCTTTCGAGTCGTATTACCTTTTCGTAACTGGAGTGGCACCGCGCGGCCAGTTGACATTTGACAAAATGCTTTATTTCCATCATGGCAATTCTACACTCGTCATGCGACATGAGCGATTTCATTGACAAAGGGCCGCGACAATGGATCCAAGAAAGCCGATGCGAGGACGTATTAATTGTTGCCTCAAGTGCACCAGGAATGTTGTGACAGCTACTGAAATACTATAGTCATACGATAGCTGGTATTAACTTGGCTTGTGGGAACTTCGAAACTCGCACGAGCGCATACGCGTAGTGGGAATCGATAAATCCAGCGTGGATGATGACTTTATAATTAAATGAAGGACTAGAGTGACTAAATCAATGGGAAGAGCGAGAGTGGTGATATTAAGGTAACCGTGTGCATGAATATTAATATTTCCTTTGCCTCGTTAACGACTTTCGAATAATCATACTTTTTTTCAATCAGTACCATCCCTTTCGAAAATAATTATCCACCGTGTGCTGCTTGTCCAGGCACTTTTGTTTCGCCAATCTTACGCAGGGATTTAAATGATAATGATAACCTTTCAGATTCATTATACTTGTAACTCGAAACGTTGTAATTTAATTAGAGTCACAAAGTAATTTAACTCCCCCATACATTTATGATACGAGATGGCATCAACGTTAAATATCACTTTTAAATGTAAAATTCTAACGTACGCAGCGCTGAAAGCATTTGGCTTCTGGGTTGCATAGTGGATAGTGAGATTAGAGGGATAAGAATCGGCCGGTGTCGGATTACCGGCATATTGCTCGTTGCGCTAGAGTCACGTTGGATTATGTATACGGTGACCTCCGTTCAATAAAGGAATCAGATAAAAGCACAGTGTTAGAAACATAAGTGATTCAATTTTACGTCGCTTAAGGGGTCATTGGATCAAGTAGATTATAAGACTGGTGCAAATCGCGTTTTCGATATGGCTACAGAGCCAATGACGATCGTATTGATAAAGTTAAAAAAAAATTAAATCATTGAAAAAGGAACCAAACCTAATTGATTAATATGTCTGTGAATATAGTCGATAGGCTATTTAGCCGCAAAGAAGCCAATTATCGGAAAGTGCAGCGCGATCGACTGTACTAAATCACAGTAAGAACCTGACGGCGTCGATCCTGCCGCAAGCGCAAACGATACAGTTTAAAGGTAGCGGGAGCTAATAAAATTGTCGCCCGATTAGATTTTACAGGGTAAAAATATCGTAGAGTGACTCTGGAATAAAAATGGCACCGGTTTCGATTAATCGGTACAAAGCTATATATAAGGATGTACTTTGGTAACATATTACGAGGATGCAATTTTTTTCAATGGCAACACGTCCGTGCCGATACCCTCGCGAGCGGACTCGATTATATACAATTTATCAACGAGATCTTGCATCTGCCGGTACATGGCGCAAGATCGTAATTCAAACTAGAAAATAACATGGAGCGCCTTTCAAAAGGTATAATATAATAACGCTCGTACATATATAGCAACGAGGGTAAAAACTGATGTCAAATCATGTTACACCGTTCAATAGGTCTCGTGCCCACGGACATTTTATTCCGGCGCATCCGAGCTGCAGGATCGGAGATAGCTTACAAAGATGGCGGCCCAAACCCGTTGGTTGCACGAGTGAAGAAATTGAGTAAAAGAATTATTGTCAGAAAAATTGAAAAACTAAGTATCTATAGGAGCGACTATGAGATATCGGGAAATGGGTCAGGCGAAGTAAAGAAATGGGTTGGAGGATTGAAAATTTTTAGAGAAAGTTATATGTAATTGATAAGACATTTCCAAATAAATTATTTCCAATGATGATAACGATTAAAGGATATATATACCTATATATGACAAACGTACGTATTCCTGGCAGCACCAATGATGTTTACGATGATCGTGTCAAACCGCTACTACCAAAGTGGACAGTTAATGCAATAATTTGATCCGACGGCAAAGCCCGTGACCTCGTACTCTAAATGCATACAGGAGGAATAATGGCTGCCTCTGGGGCATTATGGTAAGTAAAGTTATAATTTGAGCAGTACGACAGGGACTTGCGGTCTTAAGCCAAACCCCACGAGAGACTGGGATTCTTCCGGTTCTCTCAATCCGGTTTACTCGTCCCATACGTGAGGGACATTCCCCTTGGGCGTGGCGAGTATAAATCGCATTTCAATGTATACTTGAGTGGTTTAGAATAGAAGGAATAAAGAATGGGCGAAGGAAGGATGATAGAATAAAAAAAAAAAATAAAGAAGGGACAAAGGTACAACAATGGGAATTGCTACCTAAAGTCTACCTAGGTATCTTAAGTATACGTATAGGTTAGCGCACTAGGTGGATAGATAGAAACTGGCTGTAACAAACATGGCGAATGCTCGGATTGGACGGATGAAATGAATGGTTGAGACTGTTTAAAAGTATAATAAAAAGCGTGCAAAATTCTCGTAGGGGCGAAACGCGAAAATCGATTGAATGAGATCGATCATAATAATTTATCCACTGACAAGATAGATGTCCTAAAATATAGGTATAGCTTTGTTTAAATCGATAAATATAATCGTTCAATGTATCAGCGAAGCTTGAACATTAGCAGCCGATTGGCACGGATGACTGGGGTTGATCAGTCTTATTAGGAAGGTTGCGGAGTGGCCAGGCCACGTTTTTGTCCTTGATCATTCTATTCCTAATGACTTTCGTCCACATTGATTTCCTTATGTACGCTAACGGAAGTATCCACTTAGCGCTGGGTTCGCCGGAATAGTCGGCTCGCAAACATCGCGTAATGACACTTAATTGCAGGTAATCTAATGTCAAACACATAGGTCCGACTCGTGCACGAAGGCTATCGTATGGTATCTACCCCAAAGGTACCCTTGGCTTTATTGATTGAGCCAGCACTGCTCGGGATGGGTATCACTGGACATTATATCCCATTTTTGAGATTATAGAGGATCATCCACTTGATCGTAAAAAAGGTTGCTGATCAATAGTCAAAGTGAGGATTCGCCTTCATTTCCTGAAGATTCCAATACAGATAGGGGGGATAGATATCTTACTGATGAATCTATCAGAAAGGATCTTTCTTTATATCGGAAAAGCATAGAATCGTAAAGAGACGGAATGACATTTTCATGTGTTTCATATGTAAATTAACCGGCCTGACCTGATTCCAAATTCGGTAAACTTACCGTGGTTCGTTCTCGATCGCTTCTGACCATGAGTCATCTTCAGACACGCTTTTTCGTACTTTTTCAGATCTTGTCTGCCAACTTTCA